CTACTCAGCTCAAAGGCATCAATTCTCGTTTTATCATCCCTAGACATCGTCCAACTTTCTGATGTATCACAAGGTACTGTGAAGACTATGGCCTGGATCAGGTTCACCGTAATTTACAGACTGACATCATTGCTCTTCAGTACTCTGATGAGGTCCCTGACAGCCAACTTTCCCAATGCAGTTCATCTTTCTCCTGACCGCTGGTATCAAGAGTGTTGATTGTGGAGCCAAGCAAACTAAAGTTGTTAACAATCTCAATCTCTTTATCAAGATGCTGCCCATCGACCCAGTGGACTTCTAGGAGAACAAACAGGTTTGTCCTGAAACTGTGACACCAGTGTCAGAGGTTTGAGATGGTGAAACCATGCTGCTCCTTGGAGGTAAGGATTCTGAAGCTCTGTCTGACATACTTTGGGCATGTTTCAAAGAGGGACCAGTCCCTGAGAGGGACATCATGCTTGGCAGGGTGGAGGAACAGCACAAGAGAGAAAGACCCTCAATGAGATGGATTGATTCAGTGACGGGACTAATGGGGGTTGATGTGTCAGAGACAACAAAGTTGGCACAGGATAGAGCAGGGTTCAGAGATGTTGTACACAGGGTCACTATCAGTCGTGAGTACATCAACGGCACATAACAACAACATGTTCTACACAGGTCTCATTCTGCCTCCTCCCCTCCACCTAACTTAGTCCTTTTCCTACAATTTGTGTATCTCTGGCACAGTCACTCACCTAGTTGCCCAAACTAAAAACACGGTTATCATACCTAATTCCTTCCTCTTCCTCCTCTCACACATTCAGTCACCAATTTGTATCAATCATATCAGCAGAACACCTATTAAATGTGTACTCATTTATAGAACATGATCTCTTGCTAAAGTTGCTGCAAAATCTTACTAATTGTCTCCTCTTCTGCCCCCCTTCCAATGCATTTATCACACCAGTGTGATTTTCTAGTCAGATGTAATAATTTCTTACTTACAACACTTTAAGCTGCTCTGAAAGAATTGGCAAAAAATAAGGCTCCAGGAAATTATGGCATACCAATTGACACATTTCAACAAAAAGATACTGCCCTGGATGCGCTCACTAAGTTGTGGCAAGAAATTTGGAGGACAGTCAGCTGGCCAACTGACTGGAAGAGATTTATTTTGTTGCCATTCCAAGAAAGGTGACCCGACAGAACAATATCATTAATATCACATGCAAGCAAGATTCTGTTGAAAATTATCCAAAAGTGACTGGAGCAGCACATCAACAGAGAACTGCTAGATGTGCAGGCTGAGTTTAGAAGAGGCCATGGTACTAGGGATATTATAGCTAATGTTAGATGGATCCTGGCTGAAAGCAGAGAATACCAAAGAAATGTCTTATCTGTGTTTTATTGACTATGCAAAGGTGTTTGACTGTGTGGATCGTAACAAACTGTGGCTGACTCTGAGAAGAATGGCAATCCTAGAACATTTGATTGTGCTTATGCAAAACCTATACTTGGACCAGAAGGCCGTTATCAGAAGAGAGCAAGGAGACAGTACATGGTTCAAAATTGGAAAGGGTGTACACCAGGGATGTATCCTGACTTCATAACTTTTCAATCTATATGCAGAACAGATCATCTGGGCAGATGGGCTGTATGAGAAGGAATGTGACATCTCAGGATTGGAGGAAGATTCATCAACCACCTGCTTTATGCAGATGACACAAACTTGCTTGTTGAAACTGAGGAGGACCTGAAGCGCTTGCTGCAGAAGGTCAAGGACTGCAGCCTTCAATATGGATTGAAGCTCAACATCCAGAAAACAAAGATTCTCACCACTGGGCCAATTGGAAACATCATGATGGATGGTGAGGAGATTGAGATTGTTAACAGCTTTAGTTTACTTAGCTTCAAAATCAACACTCTTGGTACCAGCAGCCAGGAAATCAGATGAATTGCATTGGGAAAGTTGGCTGTCAGGGACCTCTCCAGAGTACTGAAGAGCAATGACATCAGTCTGGAGGCTAAGGTGCGCCTGATCTAGGCCATAGTCTTCGCAATTGCTTGCTATGCATCAGAGAGCTGGACAATGACTAGGGATGATAGAAACAGAATTGATGCCTTTGAGCTGTAGTGCTGGAGAAGAGTTTTGAATATACCATGGATTTCAAGGAGAACAAACAGGTTCGTCCTAGAGAGGGTGAAGCCAGACTGCTTCTTGGAAGCAAGGATTCTGAGGCTTCGTCTGACAGACTTCATGCATGTTTCAAGGAGGGACCTGTTCTTGGAGAAGGATATCATGTTTGGAAGGGTGGAAGGATGGAGAGAGAGGGGGAGTCCACTGATGAGATGGATTGATACAGTGACGGGAGTAATGAGGGTAGGTGTGTTGGAGACAGTAAACTTAGCACAGGATAGAGCAGAGTTCAGGGCTGTTGTACATAGGGTTGCTATGAGTTACAAGTGACTTGATGGCACATAAACACAACAACTCTTCAATATCAATCCATTGTTGTCAGGATAAGGCTACATCTCTTTAATAAGACCTACTAAGCCAAGTATTATTTGTTCTCTGCTCGTCTGGCTGCTACCCAACAATCCTCCAGCAAGTCTACCTTCCTTTTCTGCGGTGGTATCTGTTCTCTTCAGCTGTACTCTGCTCACTGCATGGTGTTTTTCCCAATTCAATCAATTCCGCTTCTCTCTTTCTATCCAAATTATTCTCCTGTGATCTCTGAAAATCCCATCTCATATTAGACATCCTTAACCCAGTCACTTCATGATTAATCTCCTTGCATGGTTTTTTACTAAGGGGATGTATCAAATGGTGCTCACTCATTTTCTACCAGAGAACTTTATACTCTAACTTTCTGTGAAAACCTTCTGCTGAGGTTAATGGCATGGAGATAGACTATCCTTTCTTCTCTTCTCAGTACATCTACCAAACTTTTCATGATTGCTTACTCACTGGAGACTTTAGTACCAGTGTCTTTGTGTGTCATCCTGGATGACTTCAACATACAAATGGCGATATCCTAGTTCTCAGATCCTTGGTAATGTCACTAAATTAATTTTCCACCTTTCCTGTTTTAGCCACCCATGATCACATCCTAAGCCCTGTAATCATCTGGAAACTCTTCATCGCTGAGCCTGTAAATTCAAACACCCGATTCTACAACCACAAGCTCTTCTCTACCCTGGTCCTCCCGCTCTATCCAGTACCTTTCTTGTGGCTATTCCACTTTTGTCTTTTCATATAGGCCTATCGTACTTTCTTCTCGGTTATCCTCGTTTGGTACCACTGCTTATTACTAAAAATCTTTCTTGTTTATAATATTAACTCCAGACCCACATAACTTTTATTCCATGCATTTTTTTTTCCAACAAAATTTGATTAATACTGCTGTCTTCATGTTTCATGTAGGAGGTTGGGAAATGGTAGCTCTACTATTTCATGATCTATTTTCTTTTTTTTTTTTTAGGCATCACAATATCAGCAATACTTCATTGTTTCTTTGGTTCTCAGTTCTTATTACAGAAGCTATTTTAAATCGCCTTTCTCCATAATCTTTAACTCTACTATCTTAAATTTTAAAGAAAATCCAAGCCAACCTGACTTAACTTATAACCACTAAACTTGCAAAATATTTGCCCTACATACCGATCTTTCATCCCTTCTAACAGACACAACGGAGCCTCAATCCTCCCATCTAATGCTGAGCCTCTCACTAAACCCCGAAGATAATCGTGTCTCTCGTCTATTATTCAACTCTCCTTCTCATTGGCATTAACAGGCTCAAATGTCTCTATGAATATAGTTTTTTCCATCTTCCACAGGGAGTTTTGGTGCCTTAGTGGAGAGGAGTTGAGCTGCCAAACTGAAGGCACACGGTTTGAATCCACCAGCTGCTCCACTGCAGAGAGACAGGCAATCTCCTCTCGTGTGATTTACAGCCTCTGAAAACCTGCTGGAGGGTCACCTGTGAGTCAGTTCCAACTTGATGGTACTTAGCAGCCACCTCCAACCCCCACCACTGCACTATTCTTCGTACCTTCTGTTTACACTTTTCTATCTTTCAAGTATCTGCACTGAAATTTCACTTGCCCCTATTCTCAACAGTTTGCAATCTGGACAGACATCTCTGACTCTACACTTGGAGAGGGGTCAGAAAGTTTCCTTGCTGCTCAATGTAGTAAGTACTGCAAAGTGCTTAGTCCAGTCAGCCTCCCTCCTGGATGGAACTTTTACACGTCTGCTCTTTCTTCAGCACTTTCTCCTCTTGGCTTCTCTGGTAACTTCCTCCTGCTGTTCTTCCACCTCTGTGATCCCTCTGCCATACTCTTTTTGGTGAGCACTTCTCCTGCCCAGAACATGCTGGTGTTCCTCTGCATTCACGCCGTGGCTTCTTCTTCTTTTTAAGACACTCTGCCTCACTCACTCTCTTGGTTTTAATAATTACTGATGCTTTAAAAATGCTTCCTACTTAGTGAATGTTTTATGACATTTAAAAACATCTATTAGACTGAGAAAAACTGGATGAAATATGTTTACGGCATTGAAGTCTATGGGGGAGAGAATAGTCTAAAAGTATTATATTTTAGGGCATTATTTTT